GGGCGAGAGTTGTCTCTTCGAGACAAGTTCCTCTGGTAAAGCACTAATAGAGTTGCTTCCTCAAACAAAAATCTGCCAACTCTAAAGGAAACACGAGTAAGTAGCATCCTCGAGCTGCCTCTGAGCATTCACTTCCCTGCCCAGCTTTCTGCGAATCTCCCTGTGGAGAAAGTCTGAGTCTCGGTGTTTGATTCCAGCCCTTGCCACAAGGCCGTTCACGTCTACTTGAGCTGCTCTGGCACATCTGGCTCTGGTCACACCTGTCTTACAGCTGTGCTGTATCCTTACAGACCATTTCAAGGCCTGGAGGTTCCCTGTGGGAGGAAACACTAGTGGACACCATTGGCATTAGGGCAGTAAGTAGATGTTTGCAGAGGTGAGAGCCCTTGACAGAGGTGCAAACCCTGCCCAGCCCACCCAGAAGTCAAATTATCCCTGACTTATTTCAAGCTCCATCAGTGTGGAGTGCGAGCTGGGAAATCACTGTATGCCATGTTAAAAGCCAGTTAGAAGCCATGTTAGAAGCAGGATCCAAGCCTGTCCCTCTCCCAATGGGCCTTTCCTTCCCCTCTCCATCCCCAGCATCCAGCTGTCCCCCTACCCTCACAATCAGCATGCCGGGTTTGCTGTTGTCTCTCCTCTCTCAAGTTCTACCACTTGCTCGTGCTTCGACACTGAGGTTTCTCACCTCCTTCAGGAGGTGCCTCATCTTCCTCTACTCCGTCTTTCCCCGAAGTCACAGGTTCTCACGTCTTCTCACCCCTGCTGTCTCTGAGCTCCCCTTTCCGGGTGGGATTTCCCCTTCTGAGCACAGCCGTGCTCTCAGCCTGAGCCTGGCACCCACTACGGATAGTTCCCCCCAGCCTCGCTGCACTGCAACACAGGAAAAGGAGAAGGAGCAGCAGAAAAGGAGAAGGAATAAAAAAACTGAGTAGCAAAAAAGCAGAAGGAATGACAAAGCGAAGTAGTGAAAATAGCAGAAGGAATGGCAAAATGGAGGACATGGCTGAAGTGACCTCCTAAGCGGCTCGGAGGGGAGGGAGGTGACACTCGGTGGCTCATGCCATCCGGGGAAGGGGCAGCCTCTGTTTTTTGCGAGCGGATGGTAGAGAGTGCTGAGCAGCTCCACGCGACTTGGTGTGAGCAGGAGGTAGGACCAGAGGCCTCTTGAGGGCCTGTTATGTTCTCAGCCGTTCCCAGCGCGGCCGCGTGGCTCTTGCTTCCCCATCACACACCTCGCCTGATTCTGCAGAAGGGGGATGTCACCTGTGTGGCACCACGCGCTGTCCAAAGCAAAAGCACTTCTGCTCCAGGTGCCCGGCGCAGATGCAGCGGCAGACGTGGTCC